AATTTATCATTTTCTTCTTTTATAGATCATGCTTTTGGTGTGGTGTCTAAGAAATCTGTGCCCAACTCAAGGTCATAAATTTTTCTCCCATGTACACTTTAAATATTTGCAGTTTATTTTATGTCAATAAAATACAGCTCAATAAAAAGCTGTAAAAAAAAATAGCAATGCTAGGTCTTTGACGGAAAAGAGCTTTTAAGTGATTTTAGTCCGTCATTTTGCTAGCATCCAAATGGTCCTCTTTCAACAGAGAAAGATTAGAATTTGTAAGTATTTACTAAAGGTTTGAGCATATTAAAATACTAACTTAATTTTGAGAGAACTTAAAAAAGAAAATAATAAAAGTGTTTGAAGAGGAGAACATATAAAGGGTTTTGGAATGAGACCCAAGATCATATCCTGATTCTGTTATTCCCTTCCTGTGTGTTCTTAGATAAGTCACTTAACTTCTCTGAGTCTCAGTTTCTTAATCTATAAATCAGGAATAATAACCACATAGCACAGGTTTGAAATGATAACAAAAATAGCATTTGCAGAGTCTTCTAGAGACCCTTGCCTAACATACTAGCTCAAGAATTATTAGTTTCTTTTCTTATATTATGTACCAGACCCCTCAACACGGTCACTCGTTAGCATACATGTGTGCCATGCCCTTCCCTGGCTATGACATGAAACAGCCCTCAGGAAGGGGGCATACAAGATATACCCCACACTCCAAGGGTAGGTTCCACGAACTGTTCAATTACCACATTGGCCCGGGCTATTCGTTGTTCAGAGCAAAGTCATCTTTATTGTAATGAAACTTTAAAAGGCAGTTACATTAGTTACACATGTACACAACTGACTTAATACCTGTTAGTCATCAAGAACATTCAAGAAATACAAATGGTGATTTATCCACAGCACAGGTCACATCCATAAGGAGAAAAGCTAAAAGAGAAATGATCAAGTGCTTAAATTGTTCAAGGAAGCCCGTCTGTGAAACCTCTTGTTTCTAAAGGAAAATGAGATGGTTGCAGGAAGCACCTTGCTCTGCTCCTGCACCGCCTGCCAGACCTTCGTCGGCCGCGTCCACAGTCCATGCCCACAGGCTTTGGCTGGTGCTCGACCACAATACCAGCTTTGGCCACAAGACCCAGGCACACCTACACGTGGAAACGTGCCTGCACCCCAGCGGGTCCTCTCCACGTTCCCTAGACCCCAGGCCGTCGAGAGAAGGCGGACAGCAGGTGGCCCAGGGCACTTAGTACACAAGATGAAGATCTGGTGGGGGAAGGCAGGGGAGTGGACCCTACTCCGTCAGGATACAGCGACCTAATGACCCATATTTTCCGGTAAAACAAAGAACGTTTCTACCCTGACTTGTTACTGGCTAGAGCTGTTAGGTAACCAGCTTGGTCTTGCCTATGTGACGGGGCATAACTGCTAAGGAGCAAGTGGGTAAGTGTTCACTGTCCTGGCAGAGCTCATCTGCTGGCCCAAGTGCTGACGTGGAGGACCGGGAACATGTCATTTCCCTGGACCTGCCTCATCTCTTGGCTAAGGCTAGCAGGAACACTTATATTGTCAAATGTAGCTAATCTGGGGAACACACAGCCTGTTTACTGGCATGGAGGATTTAAGCTCCCCGATGTAAGTTCCATCGACTATTAGAATCCTTCCATTATTTGCAACAGGTATCCATGAAATAGCAAAAGGGTTGAGTTTGATGTATTAGAAAGTGGAGAAGAATGCAGCTATTTGTGATGCTTATCACTTCCTGAAACCAAAGCAAAAAACAAAACCAGTGGGAAGTGACATATACATAGAATGTTCTAGAATGTCCTTAGCCACTATCATAGTCACTAACCAAGTCTTGGTTGAATCTCAATGTGGCTGCGTTTACGTTCTTGCCAATGTCTCAGGCAGCCCCAGCATGGCCCTCTTCCGTGGAAAGCCTGCTTGCTTAGCCTGAGAGCCAGCTGATGGTCCAGTCAACAAGATGAGCTGTGAGGAGGAAATGAGTCACAGAGCCAAACAAAGTGATAGGTGCCTTTCCCCTTCCCAAGGCAGCTTCAGCTCCGTCTTTAGTAGGAGAGGAAGCTGGGCTGGGCACAGGCTGAAGGACAGGCTGCAACAAGTGCCCATGTGCATTCTGGCCTCCTGGGTGGGCGGGACTGGCATGGGAGGTTCTATTCCAAACTGGGATAATTAGACCCTTTAGGGCTTTAATTCTTACTCCAGTTTGTCTCAAAATTCCTTGGGGAGGGAATCCTTTGGGTATGGGATCCTCCCAGTCCCGTCTGTTTTCTTATTGGCCACATGATGGCTTCTAAGAACCACAACCAGAAAGTGGAGTAGGGCACAGAGAAGACAGAACCCCAGACGGCCCATCAGATTCCAATCAGACTCCCCCCAGTGCTCCTAGGCCGAAGCTGGAAGGGAGGAGGCGGGCCTGTTTAGTCATGATGCTCTCCAGTATGTCTGGCTTTCAGTTACCCACGAATCCTCGCCTTCCAGGGCCAAGAACTGAGTGTCTGAACCCTGACCCTTTGTTTACGTGAGAGAAGTAAATGAAAGGTCATTGGGAGCAAGGATCTTCTATTTCTTTGCATCCCCTCCTTGCCCAGCACAGACCAGATACACGGCACAGCGTGTCCACCTAATGTGCGCATCTAAGAAAGTCCCCAAGTTCCCTCCAAAAAACAGAAGGAAAAAACGAACATAAAACCTCTAGAACTTCGAAACTCACAGGCTAAAGGTCACAAAACTGCTGTCCTTCACTTCACCAAGAAACCATTCTTTGATCCAAAAGCTATTATTGTGCCTTTCTTGGGAATAATTATGTTCACTGCCTGGGGCGAGCTCGAGGCTGCAGAGGCAGAGGTGGCCCGGGGCAGGGCCGGGAGGGGAGCCCCTTCTGGGTCTGGTACTGTTAGGGGGTGTGGAGTCTCCACCACTGCCTACTCCCCAGAAATCAAAGGCTCCTGAGGGCAAAATGGCATCATATGCATGTAAACCCAAGACCCAATCTCCACTGTACATGGAGGATTAAAGCTGCTCTGGAAACTCTCAAGTCAGTGTCAGCATAGAGTCTGAGAGTGGCATCACGCAAAGCTGGCTCCCAGCCAAGGCATTCTCCCAAACAACGTTGGACTTTTATAGGTGGAGCCCCCCGGATGCCAGACAGGGCTGGCGTTCAAAGCAGAGCCTTCAGAGGGTCAGAGCAAACGCTCCCCAGCAACCCCTGCACTCGGGGCTCACCGCACTCAGGCAGCCTGGGACCAGCTCCACTCCGTCCGGCCCTCCGTGATCCGAGGGGAGGGATATGCAGGTGGTTTCTGAGCCAAGGGCCTGAGGAGGTCCACCTGAGGGCACTCTCTGAGAGGGACACAGGGCCTTCCTGGGGTTGGGGCACCTCCCCCTGCCCCCAGGCAGCCCTGTGTAGCTTATTTCCCAATGGGAGTCGGCAAGCTGATGGGACAATGATGCAAAACAGGAGGGTGAGTGTCAGGAGAAGAAGAAACGAGAGGCTAAGAGAGACCTCCTTAGTGTAAAGGGCATGGAGGGGAGAGGTGAGTAAAAGCAGGGGAGGGACGCTTAAACCAATCTCAACTCTGAGGGAAATACGGCAAGCCAGGGGCCATGGGCTCAGAGGTCAGCCAGGAAGAAGTTTCTAGAAGTCAGGTCTTACTTCTGTCTTGAGACTGCCTGAGGAATTCAAGGCCCTGGTGAGTGTGTGACAGAACCGGAACCAGAACCAGAACCACATCTCCTGCCCCACACACCTGCACTCTGTCCCTCCCAGCTGCCACTGTTCCCTGCTGGCTGAAGAAAGAAGGCTCCGGTGGCCTGGAGGGAAGCGTCTCAGGTCCCCATCTCCATGTACGGGGTTCACTCCTACACCATCTCCATGGCCCCTGAGCAGAGACATTCACCCAGGCTGGGCTTGGGGCAGCGTGTCTGCAGGGTACAGAGGAAGAGGAAGCTGGCCGTCCTGCCTGCCCATTCACCCTCTACAGAAGGGCCTCTGTGACCTCAGGGTGGGCCTCCCACAGGCACTTGGTGGGGATGAAGTCTGTCCCTCACCGATGGAGTAAGGATGAGCAACAACCAGGAGTCGTCACTCTTCAGACCCCAGTGAGAGAAGGTGAGTGGTTTCCTGGGGTCTCCTGTGGGAGGAGGCAGCTGCTTTCTCTCAGAGGAGGACTCCTCCAATCCGTACCAAAGGGCTTGGACCAAAGAACTGACCTATTAAAGTGAGCAGGTTCCCAGCCATGATTTCTGGTGTCATTGGGATGTGCCTGCCGCTCACCTTGGCCTGTCACCCTGGCGCCCAGACCCTGGCCAAGCTTCCTCCAACAAGGGTGCTGTGAGCTGAGCTGGGGCTGCACGTCCGGGCCCTCACTCACTAGACACCCCGGATTCTAGAAGCTCACTCTGCGCACACACGGCAGACGGGGCACAGCCCATCTGTCAGTACGGGAGTCATGTCACACTGCACAAAGCACACCCCTCCCACAGCAGGAGGGCACACAGGCAGACTTGGCTGAGCTGCGGGAGGCCGGTGCCGGCGTCCCCCCTCGCGTCCCTGTGCTCCTAGTCTCCGGCTTGGGGAGCAAAGGCTGTGCACTCCACTTGCCTCTTTTCCCAATACCCCTGAACCCCGCCCATCCGCAGAAGGTAAAGGCAGCAAGGAGCCTGACTCCAGCCTCCTGGGCAGCCTGGGGTGCTGCCTGGGCACTCTGGGCTGCAACGGAACTTTTTATAGGTGAAAGTTGTCTATTACAAGATTCTTCACAACCAGATTTTAAGGACCCAATGGGCTCACCTCCCAAGCACACCCACATAAAATACAATAAATACAACCGCCCCCAATGTCTACCAGGGCCCCTGATCGGCAGCTGAGCAGCGGCGGCCGTGGGCGAGAGCTGAGCGATGCTGTGCCGAGGGGACGCGGAGGTGAGATGCCTTCCGCCGGGGGTCCTGTGACGGGGCAGGTGGGGTGAGAGGGGCCCTGCTCACTCGGGCGGCGATGTCACAGCGAGGGGGCTGCTGCCGGGTGGGGGCCCCGCTGTGTCTGCAGCTACTCAGAGAAGGGCGGGAACATGCCCAGGTCAGCAAAGTCTTCGATGTTATAGTTCCCAGTGCCCTGGGTGGGGTCTCCGGGCATGGGCAGCATGTCCTGCAGGAGAGAAGGAAAGAAAGCCGCAGGGGAGTCGGCGCAGCCTCTCGGCACCCGAACGTCCCATGAGCCCAGCAAGCCGCGCGCCCACACAGTCATCGCTAACGGGGCATCCCAGGGACGCGCCCCTGCCCTCGGAGGATCGCTCGCAGGGGTCCTCAAATGTCTGAGACCCTGGGAAGCTGCTCTTGCCTGCGAGCTGTCATTCCAGCAGGTAAACACAACTTTAGGACGCAACCCTTGTCTGTTTAAAGCTGAGCCCGGACACAGGGCGGACAAGAGCCTGGATGGTAGGGAGAACTCAGCCTGGCACCCAGCAAGATACACAAAGTCGATGATCAAAATGCAACAGAAACGCAAAGCAGGGAGGGGCAGAAGGAGGATGGCATGTGGAGGAGATCTGTGGGGCCGGTCTTCATCATGTCTATCAAGGGCAAGGCCAAGTCCCTGTATGGTTAGACCTCACTTTTCACAAGTCCTTCAAGTTTTCTGCCCTCAGAATCCTCATCCAGGAAATGGGAGTAGCTACATTTCAATCCCTGTGGCAAATTTCCCAAAGTGTGTTCTGTCGAATTCACAGCCCATGAGATGCTCTGGGAGAAAAGAATTCTGTGGACAAACAAATTTGGGAAACAAGGCATACTTTGCCTACCTCCTAAAAATCCTCAGTCCTCATTAGTATAATAAAGGCTCTGATAAGTCCCACAGTCAAGAAACTGAAAACTTGGTTTAACGGTGTTTCAAAAACTTATTTGGCCAAAAATTCTTTTTAGCATCTTGACCATTAAGAGCAAGATTAGGGAATTCTGCCAAATGCAGCTGCTGTGAGGCATAAGGATGGGCAAGGGCGAGCCTTACAGGAGGAGGAAGGGGAGGCAATCACTGTAGGTCAGGGGAGGCCAGGCTAGGCCTGGGTAAGGCACTTCTTTGTGTATTTAGAAGGATATTGCTCCTTTGGAGATCAAGAATGACATCTGGATTCCAGACCTTTGTCTGTGAAGATGCTGCTCGAGCTGGCGGGAAAGGACCTTGGGATGAGGATGGGGGTTCATGGAGAGCCATCCCTTTAGAAGGGGGGATTACGATCCTAGGAGTCTCAGAAGCCACCTGTCTGCGCTTCCTGCCCCTTCCTTGCTCTGCAGGGCAGGCCTGGGGCTCTAGGGCAGGACAGAAGGTGCTTCTCCCTCATGCAGACCTGGTGGGATGGGCTGAGCACTTGCTGAGGGGCAGTCAACAGGCTCATGCCCCATTTGGAGCATTCCTCCAGTGGGAACTTTTCTGGCTGAAAGTGGAGCCAAGAAAACCGCAAGGGGGCAAGTCCTGCTCTGCGCAGCTGCTGGCGGTGTCCACTGCAGCCGCACAGTCAGGCCAGGTCTGTCCGGGCACCAGGGATGGGCCAGGAACGTCTCACAAAACACAGCTGCTAGGTGCCCGGGCATCGTCACCCAGCAGGCCACATCCTGCACTTAACCAGGAGAAGAGCTGGGCCTTCCACTCCTGACCTGCCCCGTTGGGGTCCGACTTGCCCGAGTCTGGCTGCGCCAGAACTCACAACGGCCATCGGCAGTCGGAGCTGCGCAGAGACCGAGGGGGAAGGGAAGCAGAGAAGAGGTGCAGGTACCTACAAGAAGGCGGTGCTCGCTCGATTTACCTGGAACACTTCAGTCTGACCGGGCTGCTGGTGCGAGTGCTGCTCACCGCTCTGCTGACCGTGGTGCTGGCTTTGCCACTGCGACCAGACTTCCGAGGGCCGCCCTTGGAACTGCCCGCTGCTCTGTCCACTTTCAGCTGAAAGACCCCACGTACAGGACACATCCTTCAACAGCCATCTCGCGGCTCTGTGAGACCCGAGAACACTGTAGCCCAGAGTGCTCCGTACTTTTGGAAGGCACCCTCCATCCAGAGCCGGCTGGATGTGTTCGCTGACCCGTTTCTCACTCTGACTGATAGATAATAAGTCAGTTTTGCACCTGAGGGCCTAACGGGTGAAAGAAACGGGAGCTCTCTGGCGAAAGTGCAGGTACTGGGCGGGAGGGTGGCTCTTCCAGGGGTGCACCTGCCAGGTGACCAGGGGCTTTAAGCCTCAGAGCCCCCATTGCCCTTTGTGACCGTTAGTGGAGGCTTTGGTGGAGGCATATCTGTGGGCTGGGAGAAGCCCTCCCTTGGCAGCATGGGTGCAGGCATGACATCAGAGAAGCGGTCCCTGCCACCCCAGATTCTCCCTCAGTCCCCAGCTGCCCTTTAAGGGAATCTGGCCCTGCCGGAGGACGAGCCTCACCTCAGCATGCCCTGGCCACTGCCAGCCTCACTGCCTTCTGAGTAACTTGGCTGAAGCCACAAATGGCATTCCACAAGATCCTTCCACAGAGGCCGACAGCCACGGCCCTTCCCGCCTGTCTCATCAGCCAAGTGCTTCTCAGCACCAGCTGGTTTGGGAGGGAAGGCATGTGGGTGCTGCTCAGACAAGAAGATGGGTCTCTCTGTGGGAATCAGCAAATTAATCTGTAAACGAGAGCAACCTTGCTTCTGTCCACACTCGACAGAGAATACCCGATGGAAAAACGAGATAGGAAAAATGAGCAGAATTTTGTCTAAAACATTTTTAGGACTGAACCCAAGAGGATTAGTTTATATCAAGGCTCACCAAAAATCCTGGGAAATTTTTCTTGTTCCAAACGATTCAATAACATTTTGTAGGCAATGGGCTCTCTGTCAAACTCTGGGTGGCAGGACAGGCCCCATCCCGTCCCATCTTGCTCTTTCCAACAGCCACGCTGACAACAGGCCACTCGCTCCTGCCTGATGAGTGGGCACTGGGTTAATCTGAGGTGAGGCTAGAAAGTGTCCAGGGAGACCCTCTCTCTCTTCTCTCTCTCTCTCACACACGCTCACACGCACACACACACACACCCCTGAGAAATAAAGAGTGTGCCTGAGACATCAGGGGATTTAATAAAACACATACACTGCCTTTAATGCCTCACCACTGATGCTTTTCAAACACTGCATGGTAACAATTGGTCAAGGGTTCTATAAAATCAGGGAAAGATCCAAATCCCCATGTTAGCACAAGAGAGATTTAAATCTACTGGGCACATAGAATTCTGTTGTAAAAAAATGCATCTGGCTATCAGAAATGTCTTTTCCTAACACTCTCCCATGGAACTCCAAGGGCCAGGAGAACTCTTTCATAGGACCGTGTGCACTGGCCAGATCTGGAAATCTAAAAACCCACAATTGGCTGAGAAGAGAGGACAGGCTTGGTTCAGAACTGTGGCAAAATTCACTGAGGAGCAGCACCAGCTGGAGAGATGAGGGGCTGACATCTCAGACGCCCACCTCAGTCTGGAAGCTGAGGGCTGAGCACAAGCTGGTCCACTGTTGCTCAGAGCGGGTGGACGCACAGCCACCTCTGCTGGCGGCAAGGGCGTGGGAGACACAGGAACTGTCCTCACAGATTCGGGGAGATGACTGCTGTTCCGAGTGCTCCGGCTGCCAGCAGGGCCTCGCCACCACAGTAACTCCCTGCTGGAGTCCTGCCACCACGAATCAGCTCCCTCCACCCTGCCTTCCTATCAGGGCTGAAGTGTGTCCTCCAACATTCACATGTTGGAGTCCCAACCCCCAGGCCCTCAGAACGTGACTGTACTTGGAGGTAGGGCTTTTAAAAAGGCAATTAACTTAAAATGAGGTCATATGGGTGGGCCCTAATCCAACAAGACTGGTATTCCTATAAGAAGAGGAAACGTGGACACAGGCACACACAGAGGGAAGATGGTGTGAAGACACTGGGCGAAGACGGCCGTCCACCAGCCAAGGAGAGAAGCCTCAGAAGAAATTGACTCTGCCAGCATCTTTTTGTTTTTTTTGAGGAAGATTGGCCCTGAGCTAACATCTGTTGCCAATCTTCCTCCTTTGTTTTCTCCTTTTTTCTCCCCAAAGCCCCAGTAGACAGTTGTATGTCATAGTTGTACATCCTTCTGGTTGCTCTACGTGGGACGCTGCCTCAGCGTGGCTTGATGAGCAGTGCATAGGTCTGCACCCAGGATCCGAACCAGCGAACCCTGGGCTGCCAAATCGGAGTGCGCGAACTTAACCCCTGCGCCACCGGGCCAGCCCGTCTCCCAGCATCTTAACCTCGGACTTCTAGGCTCTAGAATGTGAGAAAATAAGTTCCGGTTGTTTAAGTCACCCAGTCCGTGGTACTCTGTTATGCCAGCCCCAGGAAACTAGCCTACTCCCCTCCAGCCACATGTCTACCTCTCCTCCCCGCCGCCATCCAGCTTCTAAAGCTCCCCACACATACAGTGCCTTCCTACGTCTCTCTCCCTCCTCAGCTTTCCTCACCGATGGCAGTCACTGCACGGCCAAGTCTGTACGTCCAAGCCCAGCCCGACGGGCCTTCAGGTCTCAGTCCCACCTGGGCATCGCCACTCTTGCCCACTCTCTCTCTGGAACCGTCTTGTTGACTTCTAGGACTACATTTGATTTTGGTTCCACCACCTCCCACAGTGCCCCTTCTCAGGTGCCCCCTGGTTCTCACGTACGTCTCTGTCCCTTAACATGTGCCAAAAGCCGGGGTCTGAGCTAGGCCTTCCCTTTCATCAACAGACAAGACAGGGGCAACCTGTTTCACCCCCGTGCACTGACTGATTCATGGAGTCACTTGGCAAGTACTTCCCGAGCTCCTGCTCTGATTCAGCTCCATGCTGGGACTGCACCTGTGCTGGGAAACAAGACCATTCCCAGCACAAGGGGCCCACAGCACGGCTGGAGAGAGGGCCACAGCTGTGAGCTGCTGTCACAGGGTGAAGCAGAGCTAGAATCAAAACCCTCAAGAGGGGTCCCTCTCCTCGTGATGGCAAGGAGAAAACGCTTTCCAGAGACTGCAGCTGAGACCAGAGGGGGAAGAGTTGGTAGTTAACCAGGTTAGTAGTTAACTAGGCGTAAGGCTTGGAGGTGGGGTTGACAAGCATTCCTGACAAGCGGATCAGTCTGTGCAAAGACCCGGCAGTGCAGAGGGCGTGTTCCACCCAGGGACCTACAGGTGGCCCTGGATGGATGAGGGCCAGAGTGTGACCCGGCTGGAGGGCAAACCAGGGCTCGGGTCCCATACCAGGAGGGGGACGGATTTTGAGGGCAACGGAGAACCGCTGCAGGTTTCTAAGCAGAGGCGGGCCACACACAGATTTGTACATTTAGAAAGGTCACCCTGTCACTGGGTGAACAGACAAGATGGGAGAGAATGAGCCCAATTAGGAAGAGGCTGCTGTAGTAATTCCTGCAAGAGATGACAGCGGCCCGAGCCCTGCAACCAAACACAGGGTGGAGAGAAGTGGATGGGTCTGAGATACCATGGAGGATGAGGTGCCCGGACACGTGGACCGATCACCGGCCGCGTTGAGGGCCGTGAGTGGGAAGAGCCAGGGATGATCGACACACGTCTCTGGTGGTCTGCAGTCCCGGCTTCTCTCCTAAGCTCTGGTCCATCTCTCCGTGCCTTGGAGCCGTGTTTAGGTGTCTGAGAGACACTGGACTACTCATGCTTAAAACTACCACTTCAGCTCTGCGTCTGGTCAGAGAGGAAAATGGCGCGTGTCGACTCCTTCCTCGAACTCGCTCCTCACGTCCGGCCGATCTCTGGGTGCTGCCAAGTCCCATGTCCCATTGACACCATCTCTCCACCCCCATCTCTTCCCTCCACTCCTGCTGCCACCACCAGTGCTCTGAGCCGGTCCTGCAGACAGTCTCTTCCAAATGCACACCCTACTGGGGTGATCTTCCTAAAACAGTATCTGCCGCTTAAGAACTAACACAGTCCACCACCGTCTATGAAGCAAAGTCCATGCTCCTTAGAGCCGGCACACAAGATCCTCTGTATCTGGTTTCTACTCTTCAAACCTCATCTCCCAATTCTTGTCTCTGTAGCTACAGCCCCGCTTACCCTGGTCACATGACAACAGTTGGACTTTCCCCCAAATACCACACACTGTTCCATCTCTGTGCTATTGCACGTGTGTTCCTTCTGTGACGCCCATCCTTCCCCTTTTCTGTGCCTGGAGGATTCTACTCACATTCAAAGCCCTATCGAATGTGACCTTGCATGGCTGACTCTCTGTCACCATCCCCTCTCCACCTGCCTGTGGCACCTGTGTCATCTTCTACGACAGTGCCCAACATGCTGTACTGACTCATCCCAGATCCTGAGTAACATACGGCCAGGGATCATATCTGTGTCCATCCCAGGCTCTACTGAGTACAGTGCTTGGGATGAAGGAGGCTTCCATATGTATTTGCTGAAAGAAAGAATAAAGGAAGGAATGAAGGAAGGGAAAGAGGGGAGTAAGAAGGAAGACGCATGAACAGTCCATAAACTCATTTCTCTTCACACCTGAGGCTTCCTGGTATCGTTAACTTATGATGGAACAAACGCACATTCTCTCATCGGTCTTCCTCAGCGACAGCCAGAGACAGAGCAGGGAGGAGGGGTGAAGATTAGTGGAAGATCAGCTCTCTATTTGTGTCTGGGGGGACTTGATTCTATTAATTGCAGACACAAGAGTGCAGAATAAAAATTCTTAAACTTCTGGGAAGGGAAGTGCTTTTCTTAAAAGTTTGCATTAGAAAAAAACCTACTACTAGATTGCTTTAGAAATGGCATCAAGTTATGGAGGGAGGGAAGGGACTTAGCATTTTTGGAGTACTGACTGTGCCAGGCATCGTGCTGGGTACTTTCTGTCCATTATCTCATTTCATTTCCTCTTCATTCCAACTCTAAGGGATGGGTC